GCGAGGAGCGTCTCGCGGGTGTGGTGGCGGACCTGGGCAGGGCTCGTCGGCAGCGCGATCGCGTCCGTGATGGACTTCACGAGCGACTTGAGATCCTCCCCGTCGATCGTGCCGTCCTCCACAAAGGCGTCGAGGGTGACCTTCGCATGTTCCCGCACATCACGTTTGGTGGTCAGGTTTACGTTCATCTTGAAAAGTGTCGATGCACTTTGTTCGTAATTTCGCCTCGCACCACACCACTTCCCTGACTTGGTTCACACTGAAAAATAAGTCGAGGCCGAAACACGTGTGTATGGGATCTGTGTATATGTATATTTTCTATCCAGGGTTTGGAAAACACAAGAGGATGCGTAAGGGAAGGTAAAAGATCAATCCAAGAGCAAAACGTGCCTAGATGATGAATCTGTATTATCCAGAGAAATAGATAATAGTGATATGAAAAGACACAAACACAATAAGGTAAAATCACCCACCAGAAGCAAATTACATCCATCCCCGCCTATCGGCGTCGTTCATTGAATTCACAATATATAAATAAATATCGATATATTTATTTATTCAAAGTTAGTTGAATATCATCGCAATATTTTGCAGAACAGGAAATTGATTTGTACTCACAAATTCCATGCATACTAAATTGCCTAAATAACTATCTCTTCATTAAGTCCTTAGAAAACACTAAATATATTCTAATAAGTGCTACTGCAAACACAACAGAAACCCACAGCGAGTTCCCGCCTTACTCCTATTCGTGAATATCATACGGCTCCCGCTATAAATATAGTTGTATATAAAAAATGCGTCATCACATGCTGACTTTTCCTTCCTTTTCCTATGCAAAACGGTCGGCCACTTGCCACGCTTTCACGCGAAATTCAGCAATAGGATTCTTGACAAAGTTCTTCTCATAGAGTGCCTCCCGCACACGCTGGCGATCGCGCTGGTGGCGGAGTTCATCGTGTGAGTATAGTTGGTTGCGCTGAAAATCTCTCTGAAAATATCTCTCGCGCGCGTAATACTTCGTAAAGTTGTTCCAAAGAACGATAACTGCATAGCACTTCCAGAAACCCCAGCGAACAGACGTGCCGGACCTATTGAGTAAGCGCGTATACATGTAGTTGACAAAGGCTGCGCCAAAGATGCTTGTCACTAACACCGGGCAGCAGCGAATATTTCCACTGAGCAGCTTGTAGAAATTTCTGTCCGCCTCCCCCTCCGGCGTCTTAAAGACTCTTTCCACGGTAGCTACATCGGGGACTTCTTTGTTCTCAAGGAAAAAATCAAATTGTCGAAAATTTGGCTCGAATTGATTGTCCGCTACGGCAGTTGGGATAGAACCATGTATGTTAATGGATGTCGGCCCGAACGACCGACCGATGACGGAGTGGCCCTGCCCCCCAGATCCGGTTGGATACATTTGGATTTGCAATGAGTATTCCTAAAGTCTTGGAGACAAGCTAATGACTGTGTAGTTGCTGACTTCAAAACTAACAAAAGGGAAATGTGAACAACGAAAAGCGTGGAGGAACGTTTAAAAGTAAGCCAAGATTGATCAAAATTTAAATTGCCGGATTCCCAGCAAAAAAGGAGGAGCCAACGTCATGGGCAGGAGAAAGGCTCTACTTTTTCCGTAGACAAAAAATTAAGAGTCTGGATGCCCTTATGCAGCTTCACCTGTTCACAAAGTAAACACAATGATGGTTAAAACGAGAAGCAACCCATAATTTACATCGAATAGCAACTAACCCAATAGCAACAAACACCTAAGCGGAGTTACCCAAAAATTGATTTGTGCTATGTACATTATCCTACGCTGTGTTGGGATGGCTGTTGGTTTTCATAGACCCCATTTCTCCCCGCTCATACATGCCCGTTTTGCATGATCAATTGAGGAGGTGCACACAATTCATAGTTTATGTTGCTTCGCATGTATTCCTGCAGGAGATCTTTAAGCTCCTGATTCTGTACCCGAAGCGTATCGGTGCTCTCTATAAGTGCTTTGCGCTGCCGAAGTTGGGAAAGATATTGTTCAAGGCCCTTCTCTAACGCGTCCCATATCTGCAAGTGTTCCGCCGGGACGCACTCCGCCAATTTTTTCCAATAATCCACCTCCGCCATGTGTCGTTCTTCAGCTTTCTTCTTGTCGGCGGCTATTCTCCTGGAGTCGGGAGTGTTCTTGCCCTGGCCTTGGGCACCCCCTCCTTCTGCATCATCCTGGCACTCCAACTTCTCCCTGTTTTTGCGCTCTTCTAAGAATGCAATGAGGGCATGGACGGCCTCTTGTGGACTAATAAGCGCCACCGCATCACCGGCATCGTATCGATCCACCATAAAGAACTCCAGCATATCCTGCACCTCATCCGTCTTGCTCAGCTTCAGCGTGGTTAGGATGGCCTCGACGTCGGCTTGCTCCTCGGTGGTGCCCTGAACCGCCTGGATCGCGGCGTGGACGTTCGCATCGACGAGGAAGGGCGCCTGGCTACGCAGCATCTGCAGCATCATGCGGGCGGGGGGGTCGAGCTCAATCGGCGCCTGCGCGGCCGCGGCCTCGGCGCCGACATCCAGCCCTTCCAAGTCTTCCTGCTCCTCCGGCCAGAACTTCAGATCCGGCGGGCTCCACGGGACGTTGAGGATATCCTCGAAGATCACCCGGTCGACTTGCAGGCAGCGGTGCACCAACCGCTTGCACTGCTGGTTGTGCATGTTGTGCAGCTGTCGATACTTCGCCTTGTCGGTCTTCTCAAAGAGCTGAAACTTGTGCTGGATATCCCTGTAGTGGGCGCTGGCGCGGTGGAGCTGGGCGGTTAGGTTTTTATTCGCCCGCTGGTACTTACTCTCCGATTCCCGATGCCGCACCACGAGGTTGCTTAGGGTTTCCTGAAGTCTGGCTAACTTGCGTTTGTATTGGCTCTGCACCACCTTGTTTTCCTTCAGGCGCTCCCGCAGGACCTGGAGGTTGTAATTGAGCCGTTCACCGTTCAGCATGAAGTCCGCTTTGCATTTGGCGAGCTCTTCAGCGAGGGCTCCCATATCTTCAAGGTACTTTTTCTTTGCTTCATTAAATTCCTCGTAGCTTTCTTCGTACTTATCCGCCAGCTTGGCTTGCGTCTCCAGCAGCTTTGCTTCCCGCGCCTTACGATAGTCCGTTTCACGCGTCCGGCGCGTTTTGATGAGCTGCTGGATTTCCTCACTTTGCTTCTCCATCATCTCACGACGCTCCTTCTCGTAGGTCTTCTCGACCATATCAAGCTGTAGCGCGTATGCATCAAGGATTTCATCCGTTTTCCGGCGCATTGTCTGCACCATCTCCTCGACGTCCGCCCTGTTTTGCTTTAGAAGTTGGACATACTCATCTTCCTTTTCATCCAAGTGGCTTTGAAGCTTCTGCAGAATCACATCTTTGCTATCGAGCAACTCACCACACTGTTTCTCTTGCTCTATTAAAGCGTCCCGAAGTTCATGGGGAACAGTCTGGTTGTGAAGGGTCTCAAAACGAAGGGCAATCGCGTTAAATCTAATTTCCGTTTCTTGAGCCGCGCAGCCTATTTCATCCTTCAACATGTTTGTTCGTTGTTCCTCCTTCTCGCGCCGTTCAGCCTCGCTGACGTCGGCCTTCACTCTAAACTCAGTTACCGCGCGCGTCGCGTCATCGAGAATCTCGCGCATCACCCGCTCAGCTTCGTCCGCTGCCGTTTCGCCTTCCCACCGCGGCTCCGGAGATGAGGCCATGCCCGCGATATCTTTGCTGGCGCTCGACTGTGGCAGCATCGCGTTCTCCATATTTCGACGAATGCGGTTGCGGCGTTCAGCGATGCGCTGCTCTTGTGCTATCTGTAGGGTATCCATTTCCACAGGACCCTTTAGTTCGTATGACTATACTTTTCTCACTCGATATTCTACGAGTTATTCTAAATGAGGGTTCTGAAATAAAAAACAACAACCACGACCATAGCACCAATGAGGATAAAACAATAGTTGTATCAGATGATAAAACAACAAAGAGACACCATATACCTTCCCCCCCCTTTTTTTTTTTGATACAAGAGGCCAGATAATCCCCTCATCATAATTGTATACTTCGACATTGTAACAACGCGAAGAAAATGAAACTCTATGGACTATATAACACCTACTGTTATAGGGAGCTCTCCATCTATACTGGAGTGTGAAAAAAAGTACGTATGTATATATATTTTTTAAAACCGTAGGGCCTCCCTTTTTCCCCCATACACGTGTTTAGAAAAAAAAGACAACCATTCTCGATCATTTATCAGTTGATTCGTAAAGCTTTTATAGATTGAATAAATAAATTGAATCATACGAAAAAAAACTAAAAATCGACCGGTTTCATAACTATCCATTGACAGTTATCTTTTTTTTGACTACTTGTTTGCTTCCCTTTTTTTTTTTGCTACTCCAAGGACGTCCTTCCTTATATATAATGTAACTAAAGAGTGCTGCTAAGTCCATAATCAAGAGACACGACGTTCCTGAAATCTACGCTTTCGTCGTGGTTTCTCTTTTACTTACAATACGAAAACTAACAAACAAATACATGTTATGTAGATATATATGTATATATATCTACAAAATAGTATGAATGCGCTCTATTCAGATGGGAAATTCCCTTCACCCTCGACTTTTTCTTTAGACATCAGATATACGTGTCTATATTCGTGTCGTAAAGTTTCATTCACCAACTGAGCAAAAAACAGACTGGAGGAGGAAGAGATCACTTCCTATATACCCTGTTTACCTAGACAAATATCCACTAAGGAGCGATAGGTACAGCCATAAGGTAGGGAGAAACTTGCATTCATCTTCCAAATCATTCCTCTATCGAAGGTTTCCTTCATGTAACACGACTCGCCTTCTTTCTTCCTTTTAACTACACATTCGATCCCCTGCGTGGGCGAAGGTAGTGTGGAGTAAAAGAGTATTATCTAGTCTTTTTGCGCACATCTTCGGTATGCACCCAAATAAATAAATAAATAAATAAAAAATTCACTTTAAGTTTTAAAAAATGCTACCCTATCTCTTCTTTGAGGATCTAGAGATAACCTTAGTGACTGCGTTTTACACCATACTCCCCTTTTCTTTTTTATCCACTCACGGAATGGGAAATTTATTTTTATACGGTCGAGTGGCATAAGCTAGCACTGCTGATGGAGTCCATGGGATTTATGTTTTTTTTTTTTCAGGGAAGGAGATGGGGACTCTCATCAACCCCCCCTCCCCTCCCCTCCCCCTCAGCGATGGAATCCCTGGCGATGAGATGCTTTTCGTCAGCAACCAATGCTATCGAATTTGGTTTGAATCGCCTAGCACCAATGTCGAGGACACGACATTGTTCTGAAAGAGATCCACCGCGGGGTGCATGTGGCTTTGAAAGACGGTGCTTTGATAGCTATCGCTCTTGCAAGAGCTTTGGTAGGCGGAGATCCCGTACGGGGACGGCGAGAGGCCCGCCTCGCTCTTCCCCTGGCTAATCACCCCCAGCGGCGTCTCGGTGCTCGGGGAGGCTCGACACGGCGTCGTACTCACGAGCGGCCCGCGGAGGTACTCCACCAGCGCGCTCTCCGCGTAGTTCTTGCAGAGCGCGTCGAGGCAGGGCAAAAAGGCCCGCGACGCGACCCCGGCCGCGGCCTCCGCGAACGACCGCAGCTCCCGCCGCTCGACGAGGACGTAAAAGAGCGTCTTGACGACCTCGTCCGGCACCTCCATGCGGAGGACGACGCCACCGACGGCGTTGAGCACCGCCGGGTTCTCCGGGTAGGCCTTGAGGCTCGCGACGAGGAGATTCGCGAGGCCGGCCGCCGCGAGGGTTTTGATCGCCGCCGTGTGGGGGATCGTGGGCGGGGGGAGGGGCCGTTTGAAGGCCCCGCGCTGGCATCGCGGGCACTGGCAGGCGAAGTAGCCGTACTCGGTGTCCTCGGACGCGGCCGCGACGACGCCCTCCGGGGGGTGCGCGAGGGCGCAGGCGTTGCAGTAATTCACCATCCCCCCATTCCCCAGCGGGAAGCGCTGCATCAGCTGAAACGGGGCGGAGTTGGGGTGCAGCACGCGCGTGCAGAGCGTCTCCGGCGAGCTCGCCGTCCCGAGCATCTCGTGGTGGAGGGCGGGAAAGGGAAACCCTCGCCGCGCGGTCGCCTCCGCCGCGCGCGGGTCGTTGAAGGCGAGGTCGCTGAAGCAATCCAACGCGGCGGCGAGCGCCGCCGGGCTGTGCGAGGCGCTCGCCATCCGAATCAGCGGGTGAATCACGACGGACGACATCAGGGCGATGTTTCGCGGGCACCGGTGCGCCGCGTCGGCGATGAGCCGGACGACGGCGATTTGGCTCTCCGCGAGGGTCGCCCGCTTCGCGAGGCGCACGGCGATCTCGAGCGGATCCAAACTAAAAAACTGCCGCTGCGCCTCCCCCCCGCGCCGCATGCACACCGCCAAGAGCTCACAGAAGGTCTTCTCGAGCACCTCATTCTGGGCGTAGGCGAGCTGCTCGCGCACGGGCTTGAGGTCCTTCACGTCGAGGGTGGAAAGGGTCTCCTCCTGCATCGTCAGCAGCACCCGGCCGGCGACGTCCGTGACGAAACTGCTAAGGCGGAAGAGCCGGGCGCGCTCGCAGCGGAGGTCGACGTGGCAGATGATCACCGCCGGCTCCTGCAGCTTCAGCGGCTCCACCGGGCCGTCGTGCGGGAGCATAAAAATGTGAATCCGCCCGAACACGACGAGGGTCCGCAGCATCAACCCCACGAACTCGCGCGGGAGCTCGACCAAGCACTGCCGTTGGAGGTTGTAGGCGACCAACACGCAGCCCGCGATGACGTCCTCGAAGAGGGATAGCATCGTCCCGTCCTCCACCCGCTCCCCGTCGTCGAGGCTGCACTCCAGCTCGTTAAACGCGAAGTGCAGGACGCTGTGGAGGAAGCCCAGGATGTGATCGAGGAGGGTGGTGTAGCCCCTTGCCAGGGCGAGCTCCGGCCGCCCCCCCCCGCTCTCCACGTGGTGCTCGTGGGGGTGGGCGTGGTAGCCGCCGCCGAGGCCCGCGGGCGACGACAGCGCCGAGACGACGTGCTGAATCGGG